AGTGGGGTAGCTCAGTAAGTAGCGAGTTGGATTGTCACCTCATAGCATAAGATCCTAGCCCTGTATTTCCTCTTCCTGGTATCTCTAAACTACAGGGTAGTGGGGTAGCTCAGTAGCAAGTTGGATTGTCACCTCATAGAGTAAGATCCTAATAGAGTTAGATCCTAATAGAGTTAGATCCTAGCCCTGTATTTCCTCTTCCTGCTATCTCTAAACTACAGGTTAGTGGGGTAGCTCAGTAAGTAGCGAGTTGGATTTTCACCTCATAGCATAAGATCCTAGCCCTGTATTTCCTCTTCCTGCTATCTCTAAACTACAGGGTAGTGGGGTAGCTCAGTAGCAAGTTGGATTGTCACCTCATAGAGTTAGATCCTAGCCCTGTATTTCCTCTTCCTGCTATCTCTAAACTACAGGTTAGTGGGGTAGCTCAGTAAGTAGCGAGTTGGATTTTCACCTCATAGAGTTAGATCCTAGCCCTGTATTTCCTCTTCCTGCTATCTCTAAACTACAGGTTAGTGGGGTAGCTCAGTAAGTAGCGAGTTGGATTTTCACCTCATAGAGTAAGATCCTAGCCCTGTATTTCCTCTTCCTGCTATCTCTAAACTACAGGTTAGTGGGGTAGCTCAGTAAGTAGCGAGTTGGATTTTCACCTCATAGCATAAGATCCTAGCCCTGTATTTCCTCTTCCTGCTATCTCTAAACTACAGGGTAGTGGGGTAGCTCAGTAAGTAGCGAGTTGGATTGGACACCTTAAAGACAATTAATATCCAAAGTAATTTAATGCCAGTATACAAACTATCAGATGCCATGTTTTTATGAGTGGGTCTGGTGTCAATTTTCAATTTTATTTTGGATTCAATCTATAGAATTTCACTTGACTTCTGCCATTTAGCAAGTAAAATAATTTCAATAGCCTACAGTTCAGATCTCAAGTTCTGTAACATGATATACTAATGACGGGCGTTTTAACGAACTTGTTGTTAATTATCGTAAAATATCACAATAACTCTAAACACGAACATTGAAATAACAAATAATCATTGATATTTTATTACAATATCTAATTATAACTTCAATAATCGTGATTTACACTTCATAATAGTTCATCAGGGATATTGATTCTACTGTATTTGCCAGTAGATTTCAAACATCAAGGAATCAGTTTATAAACACCTGATGATACTTTTTATTAGAAGAGTCCACTACTATACAACTTATACTCTTGATTTTACCACATTTTGGATGAGAATTCTATTCTGTCATACATTTCAATATAAGCTGATCAGCGATTTAGAGATTTAGAGATTTTTGTTGGTGATCAAGACTTTAAGAAACAAAGATTACATCATGGAATTTACATTCATACTTTGTTATAACTGACAAATCCTCCCCTCCCCCTACAATCTCTACCTACCCCCTCTCCCACCCCCTCCAACTCCTGACCCCTCCAGATTTAATTGTAAACTAAATTATTTAACTGGAATACAACACAAGAAAAAGAAAACACTAAGCATAATTAACTCACTATGCATCCACTCTCTCTCTACCTAAACCCCACCCCCCCCTCCCCCCTCCATTCCCCCCCCAACACTAACACCAAATTGCAGAAAAGATTATTATTCAACTGTAATTCTAATATACCCCAAAAAAACCCCACTGCGTACAATCAATACGATATTTTAACTCACTAATCACTGGATTGATCGGGGAGAAAATAACCCACCTCGTTAATTATCTTTAAGTCAGGTGATTAATTACAGTTCATTGATTGGTCAATACTTTCAGCTTAAAGGAAGTGTCAAGACTAATTTTACCGTTTTCTACTGAGGGTTTCTCTGGTAACAGACAGTTTCTGTTGTCAGAGAGTCTTGTCTTAACTCTCAGAGCCTTGATCATTTTTGCTGGATCTGTTCTGCTGAGGGAAAAGATGGTCCCAAACATTATTCCTCAACCACATATACCAAATCACAGAACTGAATTTCTAGATCAAAGATTTTGTGTAGGATCTGTTTATTAAGGACGTCATTATGCTCTACTTAGAGTTTCGCTATCCCACAATTCATTATTTTTATTGGAAAATGAACCTTTAAGTGACCAGAGATTACTAGCTGATTGTGGTCGTTCAATCCTATTATTAACGTAATGAGGAAAAGACGTGGGTTAGCTTGATAAATCACTCTTAATAAGAATAAGGATAATCCAAGAGTTAAGATCGTTACAGAGAAGAGTTTGTTATTTAGAAGAACCTTTACTCAGATTTACTGGGAATCTGAAACCTTTTAAGCGCTTAGGATGATTAAATGAAGCAGGTTAATTCTTAACAGTAGGCACTGGCACAGGATTGAAAAGAAAGTTAAAACTACAGTATGCAGTTAATATATCATTTGGGTTTAAGTTATTTACAAATGTTCTATTTCTCACTTTTGTTAAATAATTTTATCCTAAGCAAAGTGCTTTAGGTTATTTTATTGTAGATAAGGTACTATATAGATGTTCCAACTACCCCCCTCCCCCCCACCCCCTCTTTAAAGTGCATGGTTAAACAACTACAACAACAACCAAAGTGCCTTAAACATGACTCTATACATGACTTACTCCATCATCCCCCTCCCCCCCCCCCCCCAA